ACATACATTTCTTCGAATTCAGAGCTAATTTTGAGATAATTTCAGACCATCATTGCTCTTGATCAACCAAGAATTCTGAAGTTCCCTTAAATTCTTCGCGAGGATGAAAAATCGTCGTGAAGACAGAAACGACAGTTTCAACGACCAAGTCCTCTCAAAATACATACACTACTCATTCACATTAAAAATTCACAATTACTGAAACTAAATGTGACATGTCTTAGAATTTTAATTTCAAATAAAAGTGACTTAGTTATTTTATATTATTGTTATCATTATAAGAGACGGACTGTTGGACGCATTCTGATTGTACATAGCACGCTACGTGAACGATAACCACATGAAAATAGGCAGCTAATGGAAATGCTTTGAAAATTCATTACGTCATTAGTACGAAATATTGCTCTGCTTCGGTTTACTAATTCCAAGGATCACTCACGGACGTTCAATGAGAAAGAACCTTAATGTAACCCATTATATTTGTATTGGGTACAGATTCACGTACCTTTGTGAACCGAATTGGAATATTTCATTTCACATAATTCCTTTTTGATGCTGCAATCACGAATTTCAACTAACAGTTTTACTGTTGCAGTTTAAATATTAGGTTAAGATATGTAATAAAAAAAGTCGGGCATGAGAATAGTCGTGCATGTCTCAATTTGTTTCTTAAATATACATTTTTTCTAAGAAACATAAACTGAAGTGTAGAGATGTAAAGTAAATATATGGACGGAGAAAGACGTTTTGGGTGTATGTAAGTAGATGGTATATGTAATAAGTGGAAATAACATGTTTATGAATTGTTTGCTTTTCTAATTTTATGATATTTTTGTACTCGTAATTTGTGAATATTATATTATTAAAAGTATCTGTGTTTTTTGCAAGTCGCTTTTACGCATTTTACAAATTTGTATAAATTGCATAGTTTGCTATGATGCAAGGGAATGCCAAAAGATAGATGAAAGGATTGATGAATGAATGTTTTTCCATTTTTTACTGACAATAATAAATATAAAATCAAAGAATATCATAGCTCAACTATTTGGACTCTTCTATGACCAATCCCAAGAATTGAAAGTAAGAAAAAAAAAAGAGCTTTGAAAGTGAATAAATCAGACTGGAAATAAATAAGTAAGTAAGTAGGTAACCAAAAGGAAGTAAATAAGCGCGGAAAGAAGTAGGTAAATATAAAATAAATAAACAAACCTCGTTGGCCCATACCTGAGTCATACTCACCGGCTCCGCGGGTGTAAAACTGAAACATGTCGGACACCTCGTTCCAGCCGTAACGGTTCTTGGCCTGCACGATGGCCTCGAACATGGAGGCGCGTGGCAGGCCGCGGATGGTGTACGACATGACGTGGGTGAAGGTGTCCGTGTTGCGCGGGGTGAGGATGACGTCGTGCCAGCTGCCGGGGAACGCCATGTGCGAGTCGTTCACCTGCGCAAACGCACAACGTTCGCCACCATGTAGTTGCACATTTTATTGTTGGCGAATTTATATGTTTTATCCGAGTTTAATTAATGACAACCTTACGCACTGTTAGCTTTTATCGAATGTTACATTATAGAATTTTATAGAATATTACATTAAAAACATTTATTTACGCAGACTTATAGAATAGTGCATAAAACTTTCATTAATAAAACCAGGACCAAACTTGGGAGAGTCGCAAAACACACAGATTTATTAAGGAAAAGGAAATACCATGTGATCCAATAAATACGGTATACAATACTAAAGGACCTGTAAAACTGAAGAAGCTGCAAGATACAAAAATAAATTTATTTCATCAGAAAATCAGCTATACAATAAATTCCGTCAATGGTTCTCAGGGAATGCTGGCCAATCTGATGAAAAATATTAGTGACCTTATTACAACAAATTTAATTAAAATTATTTATTACAATATCACAATAAAGTACTACTTTTAAGACACTTGATGGAAATTAAATCATTCATACTGTGTAATCAATAGAAATGTAAATAACAATTAAAGTTAACCTGTATTTGCGAGTGTTATGCGAGAGGATTTTATTCCTATTGAGCAGTGTACTTTTCAGAAATCAATTTTTTGTGGTTTACTTCAAGGGCATCTTTGCTGTTGCAGGACACTAGTTTTAATATATTCTCAAATTAGAGTTTCATTCGGTGTCCACTGAAAGGTCTTGAATTCGTAATTCAAAGAACTTTATGATCGACATTAGAAAGCGCAAGTACTGTATTTTATTTAAAGTAAGTAACATGTTTAACGAAACATATTGTTTGTATGGACTTGTACATAACATTTACAATCATCTACCCGAAATTCATGCTACCATTTTAGAGTCACATAGGATATGCTACCGCAAAATAGTCGTAAAAACGCATGAACCTTTGGGAGATAATGAATCAACCCAAACACTAATTCTCATAATTAAATCAATCTAATTATATGATACAATCTCATTCTGATATTTAAACCAACTACCGTAGGTAATCGATGCATAAATGTCTATCATATCATAATAATTTCTTCGGCAATGGATGTTACAGTCTGATAACAACATTGATCACTTTATGAACATTCTAAACTGCAGCTAGCAAATATAGGCCCTAAATTATATGGACAAAATATTGGAGTAATATCATAGATTGTAGCAATAGCCCAAATATTTTTATGCGCGTTGCATCGATAAGTTTTACAATTAGTGTGATAAAATACGATTAACATTGTTGAGAGATAATTTTCGGAATGGGAGGGATCGTAAAATGTTTGGAGATTATCGGAGAGCACATCGTGAAATCTTTATTAGGTACACCAGCCCACGCTGTGCTGCACAACTCTTCTCCGTTGTTTTTATTTCCCCCCGTTGAAGTTACCGGAGATTGTTTTATTAATTGGTTCAATATCACCCCAATCATTGGTGGCGGAAACTATTCATTTTCATTTTTCCCGACGACATCAAAGGGCAAAACAGAAAAAAAGAGCGGAAATACGAAATCCATGGCGCGAAAGAGAACGATGCAATATTTTGTGCACGGGAAGCGCCACTGCGGTAAAAAGAATTTGGAATATGATGGTTGAACTCGTCCTTTTCCCTCGAAAAAAAAAGAAAACAACCACAGCGTTGCGAATCGATTCGAATGAATAAAGAGCGACCCATTATCCTTACTTTTCCTTACTACTACATTTTAAACACGGCTAATTGTGGGTAATTCGCATGATAATTTCGATAACCAAAGCACTGGCTCGACGTCAAAATAGCCTAAAACGTTATTTAAGCCGTTCATTTAATGATTAATATATTTACGGGGATTGTAATTGTATTATTTGTGTATCAGACTGTCGCGTTGATAATCTCTGTGGATTCAATGCGTCGACAATGTTTTCGAATACACTCCAATCATTCACTTTCTGCATTTCGAAATTAACATCATTCATTGCAATTCCATTAGAGTTCGATATTTGAAGGTATTATTCGTGCATAAGGTGTATTTGGTATGAGAATGTGCACGTCACAATTTTGTATCTCGAATTTTATTAGCCTAAGGGCTAGCAAAGTATGACACAAGAATGAGGCTATTAACGAGAAATGAAATGACATCACATCCGAGAGTTAATTAATAACAAGTTGGAATTACAGTTTAATGAATAACCTCTCTTAGTGTTTTTGTACTTCAGTGGTATCTGAAATTTTGCATTGAAACTCTATTCCATTATTCTTTTCAAGAAATTAAGTTTTGTTTGTCGTACAAGCAAATGTAGCAATAGAAAAACTCGTACTAATTTTTTTTGTTAATTGTGGTGAGGTATTTTTTCCTGGAATTGTCGTATTTGTCTACGGTTGTAATCTGCGTAATTACACTTTTAGTAATATTTTGTATATCTCTGAGCTCTTTGTTTGAAAAAGTATCTCAGAGCGTTTTGTTAGGAAATGAGTTAATTGGAAATGACATCACTTCATTGCACACGAAGATAACACGTATCTTTAATATCTGAAATATTACTAGGTCTTCTCCTAACTATTCTACAAATATTTATCTCCCCTGTAAACAAAAAATGTCGATTATTAGTGTAGTCGCTCGCGCACCTTTGAAGGAACCGCCCAGAGGGTGCAAACGCCGCTCAAGAGAGGGCAGCAGAAGCAGGCGCATCAGCGCCGTCTCGCTCAGCTAAACACCGCAGGGCGCGTCACCACCCGTACGCCAAAAGGCTAGCCAGCGAACCTTCAGACTCGCTTTGTACCCCTCGGCCCAGCGAGCAGAGAGTCATTCAGCGCCTCCCGGCAGTATAGTGTACTTCGGTGTTATAGTGTTCAGTGACTAAGCGGCTAAGTATAACGGACTCTCTCTCCTGCACTTTGAAATCTACGACTACTGCAGTGAATTTTGGACATCTTGGTTGTGCAATTTTAGTTTTTCTCGGTACATCTATTGGAACATTGTTGAACTCGCTTGTTGATGTTTACTCTGTCCTTGTGGAAGATTGTAATAAACCTGTTTTTATGAAAGTACGTTTTTTTGACATAACAATTAGTATGTGCGGAAAGGCAAAAGTTGAAATTAAATGCCACATACAAATGTGGAAATAGCTATCCACATTGCAGATACTAAGTTTAAAACTAAAAGAAAAGTTTATAGTATGCCCCTTCTGCAAGTCGTCTTCCCTTAACTACTGTGTAGATTTAGATTATTCCGCAGGGTGAGCTATTCTTAGACTGTTGCGCAAACAGAAGCCTAAGATCACTGCAGCTCTCACCCTAACCTGCAGACCCCCAGCAAAGCTTAATTAGCCGCGCACCTAGACAAACGCTTTCACTCCCTGGGGGGTCCAGTTCCTGCATCTTGGGGAACTCCACACAATGGGCATGGACCGGTCTCAACGCCCTTCCTACCTGTGGGGTTCACACATACACACACAATGCGAGAAAGGGCCCGTTGGGTGAGTTGACGCAACGCACCCACTCCATAATGGGTCGGGTGGGGGGCGCGCGCTCAAACGCCCGTCGATAGCCCCCACACCTCCGCCGCGCGCTGCCTGCGGTCAGGGCAGTCGAGAGGAAATCCAGGCACGGGCACAAAGAAGGTAGTACGAGCCGCCTTACAAAAAATTTTACGCACAAGTGAATGTATATATTTTTTATATCTTTCAATCGAACATATTAATATATTTGGACAACACTTCCCTCGGCACTCAACTCTTGAAAACGGTTCTCAGTCTGCTTCCCCGAATGTCAGATCTTCACATAGTATACAGCGACTCGATCGATATTTTAATTTTGTATAAAGATAAAATAGTTTTTTGTCGAATAGTTTATAAATGAAATAAAATAGTTATTTGAACAACAAATACAGAAAGTGAGTCTTTTGTGCGCGAATAAAATGATGATGGACAAGATGACGACAGAAGCATATTCCCTAATTTTGAAATGACTTCGCCACAGGCATTTCCGCAGAGTTGCGTACATTATTTGTCAGCATACATTCATGAAAACGTATAAGTATATACTTTGGGATCAGTGGCGTAACGTTGGGGCCCGCAAGGTCCGCGACGCGGACGGGCCCGTGTAAAAGAGGGCCCGTTTTCGGGGATATTTTTATTATTTAAGGTAGCAGCGCTGCTTGTGTTAGCTTTACACTTTGGTCACGATACCCGGATAAATGTTTTGCGGTAGGGCCCTCTCTCGTTTCGTTACGCAATTGCTTGGGATCATTTCTCAATGTAGCCGCGGTACTTCACGCCACTCAGTGTTTTGCCTAATTTGCAGAACACAAAGTAACAATTTAGGATCAATAAACAGCGAAGGCTAGTACTAGTTCCCACGCGTGCGTGCTAAATTAAAATTAATTTACAAAAGTTTACATTATAATAAAAATTCCGGGGAACGTTGGGTTCCGCTGGCCTCCCCGCGCGCCCGGTGCGTGGCTCCTCTCCTTGGGCGTGGCCGCGGCGCGTGTTGGTGCGAATGGACGCGTCGTGTCCCGGCCCGTCGGTGTCCACCCCGCGCCACGGGCGAGCGTGCTCTGCGGGGGAAGGGGGAGTCGCGCGGGCAGCAACTGGAACCTCGAGGCCGGATCGGCACACGTGACGGGTCCCGCAGGATTCTCCCTCGGCTGTCAGGCGATCGACGTGTGTGAGAGGAAAGTGGAACAGTTGCGCGAAATGTTCTCCGAAACAATTTCGGCGAATTGAGTGTTAAGGTTTATTTTGAACGGAGAGTGGCAGACATTGTATGCCTGGCCAAAATTCGTGGAATAAAATTAGATGCAATATTTTACTGAATTTGAACTGGGGGCTAGCTTCTTTCTCTAGGATCCCAACCCCGACTGGTGTCACTGCTGTGCCTCTGACAGGGAGGTCCTAGATTCGAGTCTAGACGGTAGCAGGATTTTTGATCTTAGCTAGGTTGGAAGATCAGATTCAGTCGCTATCTCGAGGAGAATTCTAGAGGCCGGCTGCACTGATCGGTAGTTTTCTATGGTTTCTCCGATGAAAACCAGACGAATGCCGTAGCAGTACCCTATCAATACCCTAAACAAAAAGGACCACGGACCGCGTGTGATCTTTCATTCCCCTTCTTTGTTCTGTCTTGTCTTGTCCTGTCCTGTCCTCACTTACTAACATACGCTTACACTCACTTGCATTACACTACCACACATGGTTGAAGATCGGTCGAGAGCTTAGAGCTTGTTCTGGCTGGGGTGGTTCCCCGCTGGTGGGAGATATCTGGCTCGGGAAACCCCACTAGTCAATGCTTGATCGGCGCCGGATCTCATCATTCAGTCGGAGAAGATTAGCGCCCCCTCCAGGGCAAACATGTACTACACTTACGAGACTAATGACCTTAGGAGTTGACGCGCCCGCAATCACTAATCAACCAATGAAAAGCTATCGTCCTATGTCGGCGTAACGATGTGTTTGGAAACGGTATGGATGGAGGGAGGATTGTACGGTGTCGTAGTCCTCGCCAACGTCTTTCTTGAATTAACTGGGGTAACACGGAAACGACTTAGCAGACGAGACGGTCTCCAAATTTCTCATCCTGGCAGCGGCACCAAAATTCGGCCATCGCCAGAACTCAGACCGACGATCGTCTAACCAATATCCGCTATCGCACCCCTTGATTAAATTAAATTCTCTGTGACGCTAATTAGGTCCCATGACCAACACATATTCCGACTACGGAAATAATCCTGCTTGGGTGTTTTCATATAAAAAAGGTCCAACTTCATGAATTCTACTCTGGCCGTATGTGGATCTAAATTTCAGATCCTTTAAACAACGGCAATTTATATTAAAGTTGTGACATTATATCAATTTTTCCATCACCAACCGTTTATCTCGCATCCATTTCACTGTCATCAGAAATACTACAACAGAAATGAGAAATCCCAAAATGCTCAATTACGACGAGAAACGTTACAAAATTTTAACGTCAGTGGAAGTGTGTCAACATGTTAGACATATTTAGTCCCATCCACTAAGAGTAATAGAAAATGAAAATAAGATTATCTATAAAATAGAAACAAACACTCTTCTAAGAACAAAGACAATTTTACTAATTGAGGACAATTTAATATTTTTTATCGTTCGTGTCATCCTTTAAAAGATCAATCTCACTTCGAATGCTCCCAACGACTTAGATGGCCTAGTGGTCGCATTGAATTTCACTTTGCATCGTCTGACTGGGAGGTTCTGGGGTTCGAGCCCAGACTGTGGCAGATTCGTAACTAGGTAAAATGAAACCAATCTATTGAGGAAAACTCTTAGCGGTCGGCTGCTCCAATTGGTATAGGTTTTTCATCGTTTCCCAATCAATATCAGTCGAATGTCGAAGCAGTACTTTTGAAAATGGACCACGAATCGCGCGCCGATCTTTTTTCCTCGCTCTTGACCTCTATTCTCATTATCCCCTCCTCGTACAGACATTTGAAGACTACACATGACGGGCTACCGTGAGAAGAGAATTGCTGTTCCGGCTGTAGACGGTGCCATTCGGGGGAGATATCTGGATGGTGACATGCAAGTCAGTACCGGATCCAAGTTTCAGTGGGAAATGGACGCCTACCACCTTGCTACAACATGCGCTTCACTTACTAATGACCATGTAAGATGACCCTCCCGAACAAAACACTGTCTTATCAATTTACTTTCTGTCCTAATTTACTTGTTTCCCTTTCCCACAACACCTAACTTAGCAGCACTACACTCCCCAACACATAGCTTTTAAACACACTGTAGACGGGTGTTGATTGGTCTGGGGGGGTGCCTCCAGGCGATGCACAACCCGGGAGCAGCCCCGAGCGCCGGAGGACAGGATTGGACATGCTGCTCGAGGGCAGGGGGGGAGCTAGTGGACCGTGCGCCCGCGGCCAGGCCCCGAGAATCCACGGGTCCAAGCGGCCAGAGCTGGTTGAACATTTCAAATGTTAAAAGGACCTATTATGTCACCACATGTTAGAGTTTAGGCTGCCGCGGCTGGAGTCAGTAGCTGCTCGGCTGACCGAGAGACGCCGCGTTCTAGGCACAGGTGTCAACGTTTCGGCCGCCATTCTGCAACCTTCCTCAAGGCAATAAATTTGCCCAGAGGAAGGTCGCATTTCGCTCTGAGGAATGTCGCAGAATGTTGATCGAAACGTTAGCATTAGTACTGGGGACGCAACGTCTCACGGTCAGCCAAGTAGGTAGTCACCTCACGTTATATGATAAATGAACGTAATTGAATTTACATTTAGTAAATAAATTTGAAATAAATGTGATATTTAATGTCACAACATAAATTGAATGATGTGTTATTTGATGTATTTGACGTGAAATAACAAAATAACATATTTAATAATCAGAAGGTTACATACTATATATGAAAGTATTTATTCACATATACTTCCATGTGATTAAAAGTTATAATTAAATATATAGTAATGACTAACAAATCACGTGTGCCTCAAATACGATATTGTGGTACTAAAGAATGGCATAGAATGTATTCTAGTAGTTAGGTTTCTAATTTATTTTGTCGAGGGTAGTTTTTCGGCCGTGCCCCTATCTTCTTCCAGCTGCAAACTATCGCCACTTAAAGTTGATATTTTTCACATTTTCTCAACTTTTCGTAACTTTATGATAGAACTTAAATATGACTTTAAAACTACCTCTCTTTTCTGTAACCTCATGATTAAAGGATACCTTTGCATCACTGCAACTTGCAAAAGTAAACGACCAAGACCAACTACATTTGTAATATAGGTCTTGATATATAGTTCTTGAAATTTTCGTAATGGACAAATTACGATATATATATATATATATATATATATATATATATATA